ACATGTAATGAAAAGTCAGTTGATATTGTGCAGGTATTAGCAGAGTTCTCCTGATGAGGATGAGCATACAATATCAGCACTGATCACTTTTTCGGGGCAGCTTTGACATAAGGGATGATAAAGTGGCAGTACAGAAGTTGAGGTATGATCAGAACTTTATTGAGCTGAAAAAGATCATCAAGAGCAGACAAAAAAAACAAATAATAGATGAATATAATAACTAATTCGAAGCTAGGGGAGACAATGACATTAAGGAGCATTGTTGTTGATTTTACTGAATTCATTCTGCATCAACTATTAAAACATTCTGATGAAAAGAAAAACAACTATCTTTAACTGCTGAAGGCTGTAATCAGCCCGTCCAGAACCGAATGATTGTCTCTACCTGTCTAAATATACCGACTTGGGTGCGGTGTCAATGTCAAGGTCAAATTCATTTAAAGAGCGTGTAAAAGCAAGATGAGTGTGTGTGCCACACGTTCTTCACAGCAACTAAGCACAAATGTAATTTTAAGAACACAGTCAGTCTGTGATGCATTGTGATTTGTCATAAACTGATTTCATTAATGCACTTAACATCACACATCACGCAGATGGCTGTTCAACTTGAGTCTGTTTCTGTTGGTTTCTGTCTCTTAAAGGAAGTGTTTCCTTGCCACTGTAACTTTGATAAATGTTGCTTAGCGCTCATGATGGATTAATGTTGGGTCTTTGTATAACAAAGAGTAAGGTAGAGTCAGTTATTCAACCTGCTCTTTTGTAAAACGTCTTAGAATATAATTTGTTTTGAATTGACGCTATACATATTGATTGATGGATTGATAAAGATCGCCTATTGCTTTTTCAAACGGTATTATCTAAGGCCAGTCTTCTTCTTACAGCAGACAAGATATCCTTTATTGATCCCTCGAGGGGAAAATCAATTTTACACTCTGTTGTTAAACATGCTACACACACATAGGCTGAAATACACACATGCACAAACAGGATCCCATGGGCATGCACTACTGGAGAGACGTGAGTGAAGGGGCTGTATTGAAGAGCACCTCGGCAGTGCTCAGGAAGCGAACTGGCAGCCACCAGACTTGCTCTGCACTGGCGACCCTCCACTTCCCAACCCAAGTCCTTCCAGTCTATGCTGGGCCAACAATAAGGGGCACCATTGTAACAGAATGGCATCTTGACTAGCAGGACTTGGTATAGTATGGTACAGTTTAATACTGAGTAAAAAACCTCACTATTGTGCTTTAATGGTTAGATGCTTTTCTCGCTAAGAGTTTGGTCTAATAGGGAACGGCTAATTTTCCTCAATGTGGTTTCTTTTCTAACAAGACCATTAGATATAAGCAATGACAGCCCTACATTCTCCAACATTTTCTGTCATTGATTTATTCTTTAGCATTAGTGTGGCAGTGCACGTTTGTTTGTTTGTTTGTTTGTTGGAGCATCTTCGGAGGAGGACTGAAGGAAATGGATACTTGGATTTCTCAATATTCTAAATCTTGTACCACACTCTGTAATCACATCTTATATCAAGATTCATTTATCTAAACAACCTAACAAGAACTTTAGGGCAAATATTTTGGATCTTTTTTTTTTTTTTTTTTGCATCTTTGACCCTGAGCTTTCACACCGAATCCCACACACACTGTCCCTGGTTATTATATTTAACAGTTGGTGCTTCATTTCTACGGTCACAGTATCTGCTTCATGTGGCTGCAGCATCCTTATGTCCTCAGGTTACCTTTCTCCACCATAAATAATTCACAAGAGAGACTCAAATCTTTAATAAGATGAGAAAGCGTGGGTGGGAAAGGTTAAGGCCGAAAGCAAACACTCTTACAAACGATCTCTTTTATTGGATATTGTGTTTTTTATTCCAACTTTTTATGAACCTACCATTTTTGCCAATGAAAATGTATGACTATAAAGAAATATAATTAAAGAAACTGTGCAGGTAGAGTAATATTACACACTACTACAAATTCACCCCAAAACATTTTTCCCAAAGTTTCCAAACAGGCTAGCGTCGAAAATTCTTACATTTCAATTTGGTTGGCATAGTTTCATTCACAAATTTTAGTTTTGTTCATGTACGAAATCATCACTATGCTGGTTGTCAAGCAAACATCTATGATTCCAGTCAGGTTGTTAGACATAATGTTTGGGTTTGTTAGATGGACATGGAGATTCAAACATTGGTCATCTTACTGCTGTCAAAATCAAAAGCATTTTGGGATAGCTGTGGGGATTTAACTTACCAATTAAAGCCAAATTATTTCAATAAACCGCCATCATATCCAGGAGGCAACACTCTTCACAATTTGCAATGTTACTGCAAGTACAAGAATCTCCTGTTACACTGAAAGGAATTTGGCTAAACAGGAAGTTTCACCATTAGGAACATAGTAGTACATTATACTGCAAATGATTATTACTCAAATTAATAAGGAGCGTGAGGAGCTATGGTAGAAATGGTGAAAAGAAAAGAGTGTCGTTGAAGAGCAACATATTTTACTGACGTTTAAAGGACCTGCACAATCTAATTTCAGTTTGATTTGTTCATAGAGCTGAAAGTGGGAGGGGGCCCAAATAGGATTAAGTGACATCACTGAAAAAGACAACTTTAATTAATTAGAGTCTGTATCACCATCTTCAGTACTGGGCCAAGGTCTAACCAACTAAATCAATTCAGATTGTCTTTGTCGGTTTACCATCAATGTGCAATTCACCTTTCATTGATATTTACTCTACTGGGTTCCCTCATCACTTTTATCCTTATGTTCTTGGAATGCTGGAATATTATTACTTTCTGGGCTTAGGGTAAAGGTGAGTGGATCATTCAATCATTATATAATAAGATAGATAAAAGTATGAGACGCACAGCAGAAGTTGTCCCCGTGCTTTTACTTACCGACAACCAAATATATATTTAATTAAGTATGTTTAGTGTTATAGTTAACGGCAAGACAACCGAGGATAATCAATGTCATCCAAGAAGCGCCATTACAGTATTATCTGTACCTTGGTATCCAATGGTTACCATGGTAAGCATGGAGGGAAAAGGGTGAACACAGCTGTTTCTGCTATTTTTAACTGCATGTCCAAGGAATAACATGTTTACATCTTTTCCTGGGTGTTAACCGCTCTTCAATGCACATGACTGGCTCTGAAGAGGGGAAGGAGCGCTCTCATTAAATTTCCATGTACCATGCTGTTTAACGTTACATGGTACTATGGTATTAAACTAACATTTACAAACCTGCTGGTAAAATAGAGCTCCTCTACCCTTTACAAGGCCAACCCTGTGGCAGAGCGGGATCTGGACTGAAGTTATGAGCTGAGTTTGATAGCTGACACTGCCTCAAACTGTAACAGAACAAACATTCAAGTCCTAAACGTTAAGATCCTGGAACAATAAAAAATTAATTGGGACAGCGTAAGGCAGGTGTTGCATAACCACACATCTTGAATATTTAATCTTTGGGGCAGTGCACTGAAGGACTTCTGGCCAGTAAGGTAAAACACAAGTACTGACTTTGACTCATTTTAAATTGAGTTAGCTTGATGGACATGATTTGACCATGACAATTTAGCCAGATGTGTTTTAGTGACTCTAAACTTGACTTGGATTTGTTTCAGATTGCTTTAAACTTGATTTCAACTTGTGTTAAATAACTAGATATTGGAACAGCTCTGCCCTGTCTGTCCACATCCTTTCCTATTTCCCATTCCTGCTGTTTCTTTGTGTCCTTACTTTAGCTAATCCCTTTTCTGCATATATCCTACTGTCCCACCACTTACCTGGATTCTAGTCACCTGCATGCAATCTGTTCATCTCATCCTCAATCAAAACACCTGCCATCCATTAGCTCATCAACTCACCAGCATATCAACCATATCTACCACTCCCAGCCTGATTGTTGCTTTTACCATTTTGGTAGCTACTCTCAAGTTCTCAGAGATTCTCTTTTTAGTTTGTTTGTGTTTTACTAATTTACTTACATCTGTAAGTTTCTGGTACTTTAGTATCCCAGACAGCCTGCCATATAGCCTCTTAAGCCTTGATTTCTGTCAAGCTTGGTGACCTTTCAGCTTCAATCCTCAGGCTGTCTCTAACGATCTTCAGTCACCTCATCTGTTAATTGTCATCAACCTCTGCTGCATTTGGGTCAATTAGAAAATGTAATCTTTATATATTAGTCTTGACCATACGTCATTTATGACTTAAAGGTTATAAGTCAGCCTGTCTTGTATGACTGGACTTGAGACTTGATTCAGGCTTTGACTGCTGTGACACTTTGACTTTTTCTGAATGTCTTGAGACTTAACTTGGATTTGTCCCAAAAGACTTAGAGTCTGAAAGAACAAGTTTGTATTTTCATTTGAAGGACAAAGCTGTTATAACTCTGAAATGTTCTCATTGTCTTCGGATTTAAATGAGCAATAGTTAAATGTTTATGTTGAAATGTGCCAATAAGTGCTAGCATGCTTAACTAAAAAAAGGTCTTCAAAGACAATCAGTGTCAACCTAATGTGAACACTATAAGACGTCAGCATTCACAATAATGTACAACTTTTCATGAGAAAGATGAAAGATCTGACGTCTTTACACTGATGTGCACTGAGAGCACAAATGAAAACTCAGTATTTTAACTCTCGTTCCAACTCTAAATACTCCCCTATATGTCTTTATGTGAAATAGGAAATTGATTAGACTTAATCTACTAATACTTAAACAGGACACAAAGTAATGTAACATCGGTAGCCTATGTAACAGGAGGTGTTTGTTTTCTCCAAACTTGACTTAGTGTAGTACTTCACACTTGAACAACTGACACAGGGGTTTCAACCCAGTGCATTCACAAAGACTTGATGGTGTGCAGTAAGCCATGCATACATTAATGCAGGATTCATCATTCATATTTAACTCAGAGGATCCAAAAACTGAGCCATCTCCTACTCCTGAGAAACAGAGGCTACATCATCAGTGCAGCAGACACGTTACTCAGACATTTTATTCATCTTTTCTCCATGATCACAGATTTTTAAAATGCAACCATTTAAAGTCACTCCAACAGAAAGTTAGACACTTAAAAGCAAACATTACCCTCTGTTATTTCTTCTCAGAGAGCTTTTGGCACAAAGTATAAAATAATATCATGTCGGGCAAGTGTGGGTGTGTAAAAAGTGTTTTTTTTTGCTGACAGGCAGGTTACAGGTCAATGAATCTATAAAGGAAAAGATAGCATTCAAAAATATCAATGAGGAAACAGGTCACACAGCACACTCTACCACACTTGAAGATCCTGAATCGATAAAATCCTAAGGTCTAGGATACACAGTGTGCTTCAGGCTATGTTCCACAGAGAGAGTGCGTTTGCTAACCGATTGCTTGATATTTTTCTCTGTAGTTAGACTCCACAGTTGTCTCTTATTCATTCTTGAAACCTTTTTTGAATAACCCCCTCAATTGGATTTACTAAATGTGGTAACTGCTGGGATAATATCTTTAAATATGGTGAAAAAAAAACATGGATAACAGAGATCTTTGTTTGAGAAAAATCATAAAGAATGTAAGAAATTTTGGTTAATAAATTCTCTGTCGTCATCAAACCTCCTCCTGTACATAAAAGTTTTCAACGTTCTCACTTTCAACCACGTCCACCGGTGTGTTCACTGGCATTTCTTCATATCAGTCTCCTTGGTGATAGAGGACAGATGCCAAAAAACACATACAACACACAGCCCGTCCAAATTGGCACCCTGCGAAGACACCCTCCTCTCTGTGTACTGCCGTCTTTCACCTGTATATCTTTCATCTGAAGCATCATTATCTCCTACATTTTTCCTGCTGGTTCAGAATGCATTGTGCCATGGAATCATCTCTCGGTATCCCATTTGGAAGATGACTGACTTGCAGATAGATTTTGCAGATACATGAGACCAGGTTGGTTGATACAAGGTGAGGAAAGAAAATGTAACAAATTCACATTCTACTTGCTCTAGAAGAAGACGCCGTATGCCTGACTCAGAGAATATATTTAAATATAATACATAACAATATAATAACTTTGTTAGAAATAGTAATGTTTTGCATTCATGGAGCGATTACTTCAGCGGACAATGGTTTGTTGCCTTGACAGGGTTACAAAGACAATCTGACAGATTCAATCCACATTGTACATATTGTGTGTACACAGTATGTACCATAGACTGTATAAAGAATGGACATAAAAGAGCTTGCGAGAGTGAAGCCAAAAGATAAACCTTCCACTGCTGACTGGCTGCAATATAAGTCATAAAACCCGCCTCCTCCATATCATCAAATTCAACATAGTACAAACTTTAAAATTAAAACATTTCAAATAAATGTTTGTCATTATAAAGTTCTAATCATGCTGATTTATGTTCAAGTGTTCACTTTTCTGAGAGGTTTAGTAATTTGATGAGAAAAGGAGCATCAAACAGCATGACATGATTGACAAATCAGGCTCCTGCACCGCTATTTAACAGATATGCAGAGGAGATGAGAAAAGGCAAGAGGAAATATGCTGAAGGCTAAAACAAGAGTCAGCTAAACTTACATATTTGTGAGTGTCTGCTTCAAAATTGACACTCAAACCAATTTGTGGACTGTTCTGACCCGAGGGATCTTTGATGTTATGTCAGTGTGTTGAATGTGTGCTTTGGTTTGCGGATATGGCGTGATGACAATTATGCAGCTTCACCAACCAGATTCCTTCTGCCCAAGGCCTGAATGATATCAACACCACAATGTGTAAGTGCGCTTTGCGAGTGAATTTTGGCTTCACTTTGTGAAGGAGACAGATGTGTTGTCCACACTTATATACAGTCTATGGTCTGTATATATACATTTACTCTTTGATACCTGGCTTCCCTAACAGAGGTTGCAGTACTTGTCTTGTTGAATCTGAGCCATGGTGTAAAATAGTTCTTTTTTTGGGACAGTCCAGAACACCATTTCATTCCTGTGTTGCTGTTGACTGTAGTAGGTAACAGTAATTTCCCTGGACTCCAAAAATAGTTGTGCAGTTCTTGTAAGTGGTGGCATGGTCACCACAATGGAAATTCTTTGAAGCAGTTTTTCCTCAAATTTATTGTTTTGTATTTACAATCTGTTCCACTAGCCATTATCCTGGTCCAAAACATATTTGGGTACAAAGTTCAGCTCATGTATGCTCTGTATACCAAAGAATTATTGAACCTATGACTGTTGGTATATCGATAGAAAAGAGCTGCATATTACTGTCCGTGCACTCAAGAATCACTGTATTAGAGTCTGGTTTTAAGTTGATTTCGTTCCAGGTGTGAATCTGTAGTCTTTTTATCCTTCCCCCTCCTCCTAAACGATCCCCTCACTGCGTTTGCTCCTCCACACCACCAGCGCTGTCATTAGGAGTGTGACCAGGATGGGCAAAACAATGAACGGTCCCAGAATTCTGTTGGGTGGGTCTCTAAGAAGCCGTCCAGACATCGAGCAGTCGTGGAAGTACTGCTTGTGGACTCGAATAAAGAACTCGTCCACGAGCCTGTTGGGCCAGTAGCACGCCATCTTCTCCGCTACCAGGAACGTGCAGTTAGTCAGCTCGCCGTAGAGTCTGCATGTTGGAGACACAAAAAGCAAAGAGAGGGAAGTTAAACAGTGAATACAATAATTACTGTATCTGACTGTTTCCTTAGTTACAGTTGGGCCAAGCCCTTATTTATCCAATGGCATATACTGTATGCTGCTACAAGGTAAGCGTTAAAAAAAACAAAAAAAAACTCAGAACAGTCAAAATTGAGGTTTATCTGAAATATCTGCTGTTAGACATTGTAAATACGCTTGCAGAGTGTGGCTAACATAAGCAATGCTAATACTGCCAGCCTTCGGTTCTCCTTGCATGTTAACGTCCACATTCCTGTTCTAAATGTAGTTACACATTGCTGCAGTTTAACCTGACACAGCATTTTTATCTGTATTCTCTAGACCATCAATGCCAAACCGTGCTGCTCCTGCAAGACACTTCCTGTTTACACTGCTAGTTTACATCCTGGTAGTAGATCGAGGGAGAGCAGGCACATTAACTGGAGCTAAAGCCAGTCTATGGCTACAGTCCCAGCTAATGGGAGGTGAATGGCATTGCAGTTTGACTAGCATGGAGGTCCATCATCTAAAAATATTAATAATTAGCTTAACTAGCCAGGGGGATGCCTTTAACCGTTTAGTCAACCAAACATGCACACCCCTATAGTTTAAACACAATTTTCTGTTTAAATTTGGTAATAATGCAAGGAAGATACTTTGAAAAGTGCTCAATATTGGCTGAAATGCAACACGTGGAATTGTGGAATGCCGCAGTAAGCAGTTTGCTCATTTTCCACTGCAATTGTCATATAACTTTGATTTGCTAAAGCATGTTGTTATTTTTTTTATTCATCAAATTCCATTTCTTATTTAACACAGCTGAGATCATCCCTGGCTCATATGCACTTATTTGATAGTGTTTGGTTTTCTGTTTGTGTACCAATATTAGAATTTTTCAAATCTGTTTTGCAGCACACTATAAAATAACAACAAATGACTTCAACATTGTTTTGGAACATACTAGTTTGATAGTGGCTGACTATAAAACAGCTGGAATATGGGATGACTTTTTATCACATTGTTCATGTGGTGACCATTAGAGACCCTCAAGTAATGAGGCTTAGAGAAAAGTCGTGCTGAGTGTGTGTGTGTGTGTGTCTGTGTGTGTTGCTTCTCTATGGTGAGTCAATCATTGAGGCTCACACGGCCATAATTGAGGTAATGACCCATGATTATGACTAGGCACACAGAGGACACTGCACTTGCAAATTAAGGTCAGATACATCACAACACCTATAGTGTATAGGGTCCAGGCAGCAATCAACACATACTGAGACCACACACACTTTCCAGTCGTGACATTGAATTAACCCAGTCCATTGCTGTCAGGCTGCACCCCTATTGTTTTCCAGTTCATAAAGCTTTTTTATGATATGGTTTATTGTCTTTAGAGATTTCAGCTTTAAGGAAATCCCTGTTCACTGAACTGTTATTTGTATGGGAGTTGCTTTTGTGTTGACAGCAGCAACAAAAAATTCTCATACTGACTGATAATATGCCAATTATCAGCACGACTATGTAGGGAAGAATTAAAAAAAACTGAATGACCTACAGATTGTGCCAACTGAGGGGGCTCAGGTAACCTAAAAAAAAGAAAAGAAAAAAAGAGGTAACCTTCAGGTGCTGAAAAATGAAGCTGATGCCCAAGTACAAGAAAATGGAATTCCTCGAAAAGCATGAAACTTGGTACACTGTTAGAGCATGCCCTAAGGAAGATTTTTGACGATAGGGCCATCGCATATTTGTCCTATGGCGCCATTGGCAGCCATTTTCAAAATGGCCGCCACCGGGTATTAATTTACAAGTATCTTAGGTTCTAGACCACCTAGGATCGTGATTTCAGTGACTAATCCTACATTTTCAGAGATAAGGAATGATGTGGTACTATTGACAACATGCTAGCAACTACTTAACTACGTAAATTGGCAGTCAGGGAACTAAATACTACTAAAAACATCAAATATTACTACATTTTCATGAATTACAAAATTCTTGTGTGTCCAACTCATATGTTGAGCTTGACCGATATATTTGCTTGGCCAGTATATTGGTCATTATTAGGCTTTTTTAACAACATTAGCATCCCAGTTATACAGCTGATGATTTTTAAATAGGTATAAAAAATAAAAATTGTTGAACTTGTATTTTTTCTGTTTTAACCGTCTAATTGCTATTTACCAGAATTATTCATTAGAGGGAGCTCATGTCGCTCTTGCCACATCCAATATTCTCCACAGCAAGACTCATCTGCACAGATTTGATTGTTGTAATAAAGGTATATACTGTATATGTGCACTTCCACACAGATCACACATTTTTCCCTAGTACTCCAATGAACATGTGAACATTTTTTCATTACCGGTTGAGATCCCCGCACCCGAGGCCGCGTGGCCCCTCGGTGCTGGCGGCGGATCGTCACTCAAAAACTCTCCCTTTTTCTAGATTCTAGATTGATTGAAAGTTACATAATATTGTTGAGGAGAACAATGGTACCAGGGACAAATTCGTTTTTAAGTCTGTTAGTCCTGCATCTGGGCACAGTATATCTGCGACCAGATGGCAGCAGCTTGTACTATAGGTGTTAAGGGGGTGGGTGCAGTCCCCAAGGATAGCCTGTGGTCTTTTTGTTGCTCTGACTCCGTATAACAGGGAGAGATCATCAAAACTAAAGCCAGCTATTTTACTGCACATTCTCACTGTTTGCTCCAACCTCTTCCTATTTTTTCAGATTGACAGACCCACACCAACAAATAAAAGAGAAGGTTAAAACAGACTCAATAAAACAGGAATAAAACATTCTCATAAAAACACAATCAACATTAAAATTCCTCAGTTTTCAATAAAAGTACATACGCTGATGTGCCTTTGCACAAACAGCATCTGTATTTGCTTCAAATGTGAGGTTGTCGTCAATGATTGTCTCCAGGTATTTTAGTTGCTTCACCACCTCAACAGCCTGCCCATTAATTGAGGTGGGGGTAACAGGTGAAGGCTTCCTCCTAAGATCAAAGATCATCTCCTTGGTTTTAGAGACATTTATTTCTAAAAAGAAGCATTTGCACCACTCAGCAAAGTCTGCCACTAAGACTCCTGCTCACCAAGTAAAGACACAAATACAGAGTCATCTGCAAACTTGATTACTTGTATGCCATCGTAATGACATTGACAGTATATAATACAAATAATAGTGGTGAAAGGACACAGCCCTGGGGAGAGCCAGTTGAAGATAAAAAAAAACATCCGATAAAACTCCATTTACTCTGACCTTCTGAGATCTATCAGTTAAAAAGTCAATCAGCCAACATATTAAACCAGAGTCAATGTTAATGATGCTGGAAAGTCAATCTGCTAAAATGTGAGGTTGGATACAATTAAAAGCGGAAGAAAAGTCAACAAAAAGCAACCGTGCAGAATTCTTAGCACCATCCAGGTGACTCTGGACCATGTGAAGTAAGGTGACTACAGCATCCTCAAACCCCCTACCTGCCCTATTAGTGAATTGAAGCGGGTCCAGTTTTTCCTGAGTTGTACCCAAAATTACATTCTTAACAATCTTCTCAAAAGCCTTCATAACAAGAGAAGTGAGGGCTACTGGCCGAAAGTCATTAAAAGATTTTTGTGTTTTTTTCTTAGGTACAGGTACAATTACAGAGTCTTTCCAAAGGCAAGGACTTCATAAATATGAAGGAAATGTCAGCCAATGGCTCTGCACAGTTCTTAAGAAGTCGCCCACTGATATTATCTGGGCCGGAACTTTTCCTTTCTTTCACTCCTGTGAAGAGTTTAAAAACAGTCTTTATCAATATGTATTTCCAATTGTTGTGGAGAAGCATTCTTGTACACAGACAGCTCTTCATTAAAATCAGGTGAGTTAAAACGATTAAAAAATATGTTCCAGTCATTAGCAAGCTTGGAATCTGAGTTGCCGGCAAGGGAAATTGGGCACCTTTTTGATTGGAGGCCCATTGGATTTGACTCCCTCCCAAGCAGGGCGTGAGTTTCCAGTCCTTAGCAGAAACTGCACTTTGTCTTTATACTTTAATTTAGCAATTTTGATTTCCCTCTTAACTTGCTTCTGCAGCTCCCGGCTACGAATGACATCACCCTGATTAAAACAGATGTTCCTCAGGTTGATGATGTTTCTAAGAGATTTGGACACCCATGGTTTGTTGTTAGGGAATACATAAATTAATTTCCTCGGAATTATTGAATCTCAGTCACTTCATCCAAGTCGGAGCAAGAGTTTGTAAACACATCCCAGTCCGTGCACGTGAAACAGTCCTGGAGGCGCTCTATAGACTCCGCTGACCAGACTGGAACTAAACGACGCTCCTGTTTTGTTTCCTTCAGGACAGGTTTGTAAGTAGGAACCAAATAAACAACATTATGGTCGGACCTTACTATCTGCCGTAGGAATTCTCGCATGCGTATGTTCCCACCTCTGCTAATGCCAGCTCGGGGTGTGATGTCTTGCACTCTTTAACAAACAGGCTGCGGACACAGCACCCACAGGCCCTCTTCCTTATTACTGGGGACTTTAATCATGCCTCTCCTTCCTCTACCCTGCCCACCTTCACACAATATGTCACCTGCCACACCAGAGACAATAAAATACTGGACCTTTTCTATGCCAACACCAAGGAGGCATACACCTCATCTCCTCTCCCTCCCCTTGGAAGATCAGATCACAACCTGGTGTACCTACTGCCTGTGTACAAACCTCTGGTACACAGACAAACAGCTGTCACCCGCACTGTTAAAAGATGATCCGATGAGATGGAAGAGCCTCTTAAGGACTGTTTTGAGACAACTGTGTGGCAAGTGTTCTGTGATGATGGGCAGAACATTGACAGTCTCACACACTGCATTACAGACTATATTAATTTCTGTGTGGATCACACCGTACCCACCAGGACTGTACGTTGTTTTGCTAACAGCAAACCGTGGATTACTCCTGAAATAAAACGGTCCTCCTCAAGGACAAAAAGAGGGTTTTTAGGTCAGGAGACAAGGAGGAGATGAAAACTGTGCAGAGAGAGCTGAGGAGGAAGATCAGGGAGGGGAAACGCATCTACAGGAGGAAGATGGAGGAAGATGGAGGAAGATGGAGGAACAGCTGCAGCAGAAGAATGTCAGCGGAGTCTGGTAGGGCCTGAAAACCATTTCAGGTCACAAGGACTCCAACACTTAACTGGTTAGGGATCAAGAGTGGGTGAATGACCTGAACACTTTCTTCAACAGAGTTGAACAGCCATCCA